GGTTGGTTGGCTGGCTGGCTGGCTGGGTGGTTGGTAGGTTGGTAGGTTGGTAGGTTGGTAGGTTGGTAGGTTGGTAGGTTGGTAGGTTGGTAGGTTGGTAGGTTGGTAGGTTGGTGGGTTGGTAGGTGCGCGTGGTAAAGGAATGGGTAGCTGTTTACTTGTTTACATAAAAAAGGGATATACATACATGTCTGTATGTGTGTGTTTATATGTATGTATGTATGTATGTATGTATGTATGTATGTATGTATGTACTTATGTATGTAAGTATGTAAGTATGTCATGTCATGTAATGTCATGTAATGTCACGTAATCTCATGTAATGTCATGTAATGTACTGAAGTGTAATGAAATTTCATGTATGTAAGTATGTATGTATGTATGTATGTATGTATGTATGTCTGTATGTCTCTATGTGTGTTTGTGTGTATGTATGTATGTATGTATGTATGTAAGTATGTATGTATGTATGTATGTATGTATATACAAAGGTTATGTATGTACGTATGCATGTATGCATGTATGCATGTATGTATGTATGTATGTATGTATGTATGTATGTATGTATGTAAAGGGGTTTGTGTGTATGTATGTATTTATGTACGTATGTAGTTATGTATGTATGCGTGTATGTATGTATGTATGTATGTATGTATGCATGTATGTATGTATGTACTGTATGTAATGTAATGCAATGTAATGTAATGTATTGTAATGTAATGTAATGTAATGTAATGTAATGTAATGTAATGTAATGTAATGTAATGTAATGTAATGTAATGTAATGTATCGTAGTGTATCGTATTATACTGTAATGTAAAGAAATGGTAAAGTATGTATGTATGTATGCATGTATGCATGTATGTATTTATGTATGTACGTATGTATGTAATGTATGTAATGTATGTAAGGCAGGTATGTTTGTTTGTATGTATGTATGTATGTATGCATGTATGTAAGCATGTAAGTATGTAAGTAAATAAGTAAGTAAGTAAGTAAGTATGTATGTATGTATGTATGTATGTAAGTACGTATGTATGTATGTATGTATGTATGTATGTACGTATGTATGTATGTACTTGTATAGGTCTGCATATCTGCATACGGAAATTCGGCGGACATGGTTTCGTGACTAATTGTATTTGCAATACACAGAGACAGGTGCATATAGAGTCATGCGCATACTTGTACACTTAAGGGACATGGTGAACCCTAAATCCCAAACACTGAGCCCTGGGAAAGACAGAAGACAGAGGGACATACGGTTGCTGATATAAATCCTGCATTACCCATAATAAGGAATATACAATAATTCCCATAGTTCAGGGTCCTTAAGGTAATGCAAGATTTATATCATCAACAGTAGTAAACCCTAAACCCTCGGTCCTTCTCAGCTGTTGCACTTGTCGCCAGGCTTGGTGGAGGGTAAGAAGAAGAGCCCTGCTGCAGCCCGGTCATACTGTAGTAGCACTGTGGTTTAGTGTTGGGGTTCTAGTATTGCCGTAGGAATATCATTGGTGTTAGTGTTCTGCTGTTATAGTATTTGTTCTCATAATCTACTAGTCATATTTTAGCATTCTAAAGCTTCGCCGGATGTCGTATAGGGTGCCTTGAACTCAGAAGTCAAAATTAGAGCTTAGGGTTTAGGGTATAAAGATGGGGAGAATATCCCATATAACTGCCGCTACATTGAAGCCCACTACGATAAGGGTATGTTTGTAACATGCTCATGCTTACGTCCGTTTTGGTTCCCCTTATACAGTTCGTGACCGTCAACAGCCCCCCCCCTAAACCCTAAACCCTAAACCTACATCGGCAACCTTCCTAAGCCTGGGGACCTTGAAACCCGAAACCCTATAGCCCAACACCCGAACCTCTGCATGCGAAGCCGCAACCCAAAGCCTGAAACCCGAAACCCTATCCGCAAGCCCCGAATCAGGAGCTGTGAGCCCTTGAACCCTCAACTCTGAGACCTCAACTTTGAACCCTAACCATCAACTAGACTCTAGGGTTTGGAGTTTTTGGGTTTAGGGTTTAGGCTCTAGGTTGAGGGAGTAGACCCCACACCATCAGGTCCTCGAGATGCCCAAGTGGCAAGCTTGGTTGAGAAGGCCCCAGGTGCATGGGGAGGGTGGGAGTGGAGTGGAGGGGGAAATCGGGGCCTTACTTCGATTCAAGGAGCGCAGGTTCTGATACAATCAGGTAAAGAGTAGCCCAGCCTCAATTCGGCTTTCTTTTAGTCGACTTGTAGTTTGTCTTAGTCTGCTTATAGACTACTAGCTTACCAAGTGCACTGTGTTGATACAGTAGGCCAGCTTGAGAAAATGATGGGACCCAGGCGATGCCACGTGGTTCCTTGAAGGCCCCCGGAAGACAAACAGGCTTTACCGGAGGATCACAACTTGTTGTAGACGTCGTCGTGATGCTACTTGCGATGGCTGTAGCGTGCCCTGTTGCATTCCTACCCAGACCCGAAATTTGGCCCGTCGCGGTCTCTAGG